TCTTTTCAAATGAGTCAGCTCTTCACATCAGGTGGCCAAAATATTGAAAGTTCAGCTTCAACATCAGTCCTTCCAATGAATATTCAGGACTGATTTCCTTTAGAATGGACTGGTTGGATCTCCTTACAGTCCAAGGGACTTTCAAGAGTCAAAACAGCAGCAAATTGGTTTATATGCACAAGATTAAAAATGGCAGAAATAATCCATTCCAAATTGCTTTTTCAGATACATTGCCATAAATGGCCATCAATTTCACTCACATTCTTGCTATCCATTGAAAAAACAAATATGTCCTGCCTGACCAGGTTACATGACTTCACATCACTAAGGGCCAGTTCAACACCAAATGGCAATAATCAAAGACTCAGCAATTCCTAGGAACCAAGGCCCAATTTTGTCTCTTCCAATCTAAGACAGCAGAGACCTAATGGAATGAGCACATTTAAGACCTGAGTTCTGGAGCCAGTTCAGCCCCAAACTCCTGGGTTACCTTTGGAAGATATTCTTTTCCCTCTTAGACTGAGTTTTCACATCTGAAAAGTGAAAGAACTGCCCTAGAAAACCTTCAAACTCTTTTCTAGTTCTGCTGCTCAAAGACTTTGTGATTAAAACATGAAGAAAGGCTTGGGCAGGAAAGTGGAAAGGAAACAAGTTTGGCTGCCATTTCCATCATGGGAGACCAGTTGTTTAAGACGGCATTTTGTTCTCAGTACTATGTTTACCCCAGGTTAGCAACAGGCAATAACTACTCCCTCTCCACAGAACGGATTGGGAACCTCAGGTAGAATAAAACACAGAGAGAACTAGTAAAAAATTTCCAGGCTTAGGATCGTCAATGAACAGAATTTATTTCACCTATTCTGATTTGACTTTACAAGTCTAGGTGAAGCAATGTAGGCAAAGCTTGAAAACAGAGGCTTTGTTTATTATTATACAGAAGCATAGAAGGTAATATACATAAGAAAAGTTAGTTTAAAACAAAAAGCAACCATTTTGAAATTAATTTCAAAGAAAAATCATGAAATAATAAAATAATGAATCCAAAATAGATGAGGTTATCTAGCCCAATCTCTAATAAATAGAACCTTCTAAAATCAATAAGAGCCCTAGATTTAAAAAATAGAGCCTAGCTCTACAATTTTATTAACTATGTGATTATTGAATAAGTTCCTTCACTTTGGGTGTTTACCATTTGGTATAATTGCAATACCGTCTATTCTATCTAACTCAGAGAGCTTCAATAAGAACACTTTTTTGATAATTAAATAACAATGAATATGGATGTGCTAGAAAAATTATAATGGATTGTAAAAACAAAAGGAATTCTACTAAAACAATCATGTGGAATTTGTACCCTATGGATTCACTTTTTTTAAACTCTTATATAAAAAATATTTTTAAAAGAAATTTCAGAAATTGGAGAAAGTCAACTCCAGGTCACAAGATAATTCCAACTTCACAAACCTACAAACTTTACAAATCCTTCTGTATTATAATCTATTGTAATAAGGAACAAAAAATATTATCACAGTTCATTCAGCCAAATTATTGAGAGAAAGAATTTCCAATTGCCAGAGTTAAAATAGTAGGAAAATTTCAAAATCATTTCATAAAACAATGTATTAATAAAAGAAAAAAAGATCATTTTCTTTGGTATCTACCAAGGACAGAAAAAGCAAGATTTATACCCTGTTCTGCCATCAAAGTCTAAGGCTTTGGGAAATTTTTGCAAATTGGAAGCAGAGAAAGGACCCAGGTTACAAGATAAAGAACACTACTGCTAATACTTTGAAGACCAAAAGAAAAATTATGTCACCTTATTCCCTCACCAGTCTAGAAGAGAAGTTAAAGAGATAAAACCACACATACATACCAAAATCATTCCATAAAAAAAATACATAGACACTTAACATGGAAAAATTTGCAAGAAGACAAAACAATAAAAAATATGCATGGGCTCATAAGTATATAGTACAGGACACAGAAAGGCATTTGGAAATGCAGGGGCATTCCAAGATACACAAGTTGTTGAAAAAAAAAAATCAATGAAAAATGAGAACAATGGTAGCAAAATAACAAAACCCTAAGGCCTAAAGAGCTACTAACTGGGGAAAAGTACACCTCACTTTTAAATGTGCCAAAGCCCTTCAGAGAAAGTTATTAGTGGAATACCTTATAAAAGAAAATTATAACATATGGTATCACATAAATATAAGTTGATGTGGAAAACATGTGGGTACTTTTTCAACTTTCACAGTCAGAATTTAAAAATGAGAAGGCAAACCCCAGAGATTACCGACATAAGACCAGGGTGAGAAATGTAATCAGTAACTTCAAGGTAGCAGTGGTTAAACAAATCCTAGGCTACCAAGCTCAAGGACAGGGGAGAGGGGGTAAAAATAACCCATACAGAACCATAAACCCTGAAAAGTATTTGAGAAGCCTGAATATGAACCTGGATGAGCAGGTTCAGAGTGCTGTAGCTTCATCATCACTGCAAACTTCACCGAGTACTACTGTGTGTCAAGTGTCCTTCTGGATGCTGCTGGGAGTAAAGGCATGAGTCAGGCAGCCCCACCTCCCAAAGGAGACAGGCCCACATACAAGTAAATCTACTAGAAGGAAAATTGTGCAAAGGACTGTATGAGATGCACAGAAGTTACATGCAGGGAAGGAGTCCTCACTAGACTATGACACAGGGTCCTGATGACTCTGGACTCAGACAAAGGGGCCCTGAGGTCTAGCACCGACTTGATGACAAGCAGGTCACCCGTCTTGAAACAAATCACTTACACTCTCTGCACTGCAGTTTTTCACCTTGACACCTGCAAAAGGTGGGCTATGACTTCTGTTAGTTTTACACTCTGTCTGCATGGCTGAGGTTCTTGGAAGTCAGACTCTGAATTAAGCTATGAATGCTAAGGCTTTATGGGCTAAAAATTGAAGGTGAGTATGTATAGAGGCAAAGGATAGCGTGAGCTGAGCTAACAAGACCTTGGCATCATCAACTCACCCTATAAATGAAAACTGTGTTACCTACTACCTGGGGATTTCACTGATGGTACAGAACATTCTAAATGGACCAAAAAAGAAAATGCATATAAACTTTAGAAAATGTATTAAAAATTAAACAAAAGTAACATGAATTATAAAAATGTTGAGGGCAACAGAAGATGCACTAACATTTAAATTAAATATAAAGGAAAGTAAATCTTACACTTCTAACAAATATCAAGTCATAAGATACAGCAGATGAAGAGACGGAGCTACATTTTTAAAAGTCTGAATATCCATGAACCTTTATCCACGTTTGCCTTTAAAATGCATATATGCAAGAGAAATCTCTTCCTTCATGTATTCAAAAAAGGTTATATTAACAAGAAAGAGAGACTGGCAGAATTGCAAGAAAGACTCAAGACTTCAGAAATTCAATGAGACTGAATTGCTTCGAGAGAGGATGCCACATTCCAAACTGTTTATTGCAAGAGAATTACTGAGTGGTGCACTCACCCATCCAGCCATCCGCCATCCATCCAAATATATATACACATAAGAAGACACAGACATACATTTGACCACACACAACCATTCCCACTAAAAACACAGTAGCATAATAAGAGCCAAGAGGAACATAAGGATGAATGAGAAACCATATCTTGTTGCTTAAATGGGGAAACAAAGCTTACATTCTTATAAGGAAGTGAGGAGGTATCACCATCATATGGGGCCCAAGTACCACATATGCCAGGAAAAGGAGGACCAGCAGCACAGCAGGCTGGGTGAGGACAATAGTCTCACTTCAAAACCACAGAGAGCGTCACCTCTTGTCTCCAAGTTTCCATTTTTTGCTGTGAAAAAGCAGTGGGTTCATAGAGTTAAAGGATAAGGCAACAGAACGACAACGAAAAAGCAGAGTGCCTCACACAGACCATCTGGTCAACAGTGGCAGATTAAGGACAGCAGGAGGAGCAACACAAGAAGTAGGAATTTGACAGTCAGAATATGATGCATGTGGAAACCCAGGGAAGAGATGACTTCCAATTCCCTCCAGTCCAGATCATGCCCAGACACTGGAGACGGTGACACGAGTAGGGTGGTCACAGAGGACAACAGGGTGGTGAGGCGGCATGGTAAGAAAGATCAGAGATGAGCAAAGAGCTGCAGAGGGTCAGAGATGAAGCCAGGGTCCCTAGAGAACCAGCTGGGCAGTGAGAGGACCTCACAAAGTATGGGGACCAGGATGGGGCATCTCAGCACAGGAAGACTCAGCCGAGGGTCCAGCTCACTCGAATTCACAGTACTCCGAGTGAAGATGTCTGAAGCATGACCGTCACCTGCTTTCCCCCTCCCTCTCACACATGCCAACATGATACAGAACCTGCCCCATCCTGACCCTCAAGTGTGCACTGACTGTCCTAACTACTAAGCCCTCCCCACACCTCTGCCTCCTTCTCGGAAAGAGGGACTGTCTTTATTCTCTTCATATTAGAGGGAACTTCATCTTACCTCTCCCCCAAAATGAAGAGACAAAATAACAATCTAGACAAAATAACTAGAGAAGAGAAAAAATGTCTAAGTGCCTTATCAGGGTCACTTCAAACGGACACACCATCAGACCACTGCTTGGTAGCACGTGGGACACTTGTCCAATGGCAAGAGGGAGGGGAAACTGGGTGGTAGGCACATTTCTACAAGACAATGGGATGGGGGTGGAGGATACTGCAATAGAAGGACACTGAGCTATGAATGAAGAGACGAGGGTTCTAGTTTTAGCTCTGGCCAAAACCACAGTCAGATAACCCCTAACAGATTTCAATCTGTATGCCCAGTAGAAGAGTTGCCTAGGTGGTTACTAGGTGTTCTTCAACGTTTGACAGTCTATGTACTATGATAGCCACACTACAAAATTCTTTTCCCAATGCAACATTGTACTACAAATCACTTTTATTATATTGAACTCTCTTGTTTTAGGCACCCACCTCTGCAAAGCCCACACTCACCTTCACCACCAGGTTGCTTGTATGGGTTGTACTTGGGCTTTGGAGCAACAACTGGGGCAAATTTCTTGGGTGGTTGCTGTGTGGACACTGAAATGCTGGGGGTCCCAAAGGAATGGGTGGTCTCCATCCGTGCAGACACGTGGCCAAGAGGCTCAGCAGTGCTTTTTGGTGGCAGCCAAGATGGGTGAGACATTGTTCAATCTAGAAGTAAAAGGAAACAAACAGTTGCCTTTAAAGAAACACAAAAATGAAAGCAGTATACTTCTCTTCATTACTGTTTCTTCTTAATCCATACCTAATGAAATTTTGAAACAGACTCTGAGATGATGAAAGAAGGGAGGAAGGAAAGAAGGGAGAAAGGTAAGGAGGAGGAGGAGGTGGAGAGTTATGGAAAGAACTACCTTAACTGAAGGAGGAGAAAAATTGAACACTCTCCTCAACCCACCTTGAATACCTCTCTTCCAACAGTTACCTATTTTAGTGCCTAGCATTCTTCAGGAGATAGATATGAGCAAGAAATGGTTCCTAGCCTTAAGAAGTTTCTATGGTAGGAGAATCTTATATCAGTAAGGTTGGTAAAAAAGCTTCAACTTCATTAACAATCTATTAAAATGATTACCATACCAATTAAATGATGACATTATCTAAGTGAGGTTTCTCCGGTGGCTCAGACAGTAAGCAATCTGCCCTCCATGTGGGAGACCCAGGTTCGAACCCTGGGTCAGGAAGATCCCATGGAGGAGGGAATGGTTACCCATTCCACTATGCTTGCCTGGAGAATCTCATGGACAGAGGAGCCTGGGCTACAGTCCATGGGATCACAAAGAGTCAGACATGACTGAGCAATCAACACATACATACATACATACATACATTATCTAAGTGAGGTAAAAAATAAAGTGTTACTGGAATGCAGAAAAAGGTAAAATCACTTCTTGCAGGGAGCAAAACTAAGACCTCATTAATGAGGTGACCTTCAGATTGAGCTCTGAATGCTGAGTAGAGGTCAGGCCTGAATAACATAGGCAACGTTGCACGGGTAAGAAAAGTACACAGTACTTCAATTTAGTGTGGCTGGAGGGGGAAAACAGAAAAGTAGCTAGCAAAGTAACTAAAAATGCGGGATGGACCCAAAGCACTGAAAGCTTTGTATGCAAACTTGAGGACTTTGAGTTCTGCAGGCATTAAGGAATCATCCAAGGTTTATTCTTGAAACAAGGGCATGACTAGTGCATGGCAGGACACTTTAAGATGATGCCTCTGGCAGAAGCAGTACTGCTGCTCACCAAGGGGTACTTGGAAACTGGGGAGAGGGGCAGTGTTTGCCACAATGCCTGAGAAAGATACTGCTGCCTAATGGCCAGGGGCTAAAATATTCAACCCCTATAAGCACAGGGCAGCCCCCCACGACACCCATCAGGAGCTCTGCCCATCAGTGAGCTCAAACCATACTGGATCTTTAGGAAAAATTCAATTAGGAAGGGGATACGAAAGCCAGCCCGGGACGGCCCTACTCAGACTAAAATATGCTCTATGAGGAAAGAAAAACGATGTCTTGGTGTCAGGGTAAACCAACCACCCCTGCAGGCAGCATACAGGCTGGGGCTGAACCTCACATTCTCTCCCTGAGGAGGGCTCTCCAAGTCTGATTGCAAGAGCTCTCCAGCAAGCGGAGGCCCGGAAGCTTTCCTCACCCTCTCCAGCCCTAAATCCACCCTGTCATTTATTAATGGGGCTGAATTAATTGAGAGGGCTCCATGATTACCTCCAGATGTCTGTAACAAGGAACACTGGGGTGTGTGTGTGTGTGTGTGTGCAGTCGCTCAGACATGTCCAGCTCTTTACGACCCCACGGACCATAGCCCACCAGGCTTCTCCGTTCATGGGATTTTTCAGGCAAGAATACTGGAGTGGGCTGCCACTTCCTGTTCTGGGGATCCTCTCAACCCAGGAATTGAACCCTCGTTTCCTGTGTCTTCTGCATTGACAGGCGGTTTCTTGAGCACTGAGCCGCTAAGGAAGCAAAGAACAGTGGGAACTCAGGAGAAAATGCAGGGTCAGCACATGGTATGGCCGCGGAGTGATGAGGTTAATGGGGGAAGCTGGAGCCCAGGGTGACCTGGGTAGCATTAGACTACGCCAGCAGGGGTGACATGATCTCGAGAAGCCCTGCATCCCTCACATGGTGTCCCAGGTACCCTTGCTCCCTGCTCTCACAGAGTTTCAGGACAACCAGTGAGATAACAGTGTTCAAGTGTTTCATATACTGTTAAATGCTATGCAAGGTGAAGGGAGGAGAATTGTTGGCGATGTAGCTCTCTGATGAAAGGGAATGACATGAGTCAATGAGGAAGCCTCGAACACAGGAATCAGGAGTCTGCTGTTACTTAAGCCTATGGTGGTGACACTGCATTTCCACTCTCGTTGCAGGGCCTTCTCTTGCCCTTCCTCCCCTGCACCTTGGGTATATGCTTTGTACACAGTTAAGTTCCTCAGAAGAGTAGGGACCATATTTTATATACCCTGAAACCACCATTAAAGCCCAGCACAAAACCAATACAAAAAAACAACTATGAATTTGGTTTATTCCTGGTTCTTAAAACTGGCTGCACATTTTAAAGTCTATGAGGTTTTTTTTTTTTTTTAATGCCAAAACCAAGCTCGGGTTGAGAAACATTAATTTTGGCATTATTTGTTTAACTGAGCCTCAATCTTTTACTAAAAGGGGTTAAAGTGTCTGTTCTACTTTCAATCAGACTAAAATGAATACAAGTGGGGAACAAGCAGGATAAAATAAAGATTTGAAGATTTTAATGCACCACATTCATTTGTAATATAAATGTTATTTGTAGATTTTTTTTAAATGGCTTAATATTATCCTTGCAAATTTTCTATAAATCTAAAGCTATTCCAAAATAGGAACTTTAAAAATGGGTTAATATAGGATACAGTGATTTCTAAAGCAAAGAGGCACATTTCCAAAGCAATTGCACATTGCCAATTGACTGAAGAATCCTGGCCTTTTCAGAAATTCTGTAGATATAAAGGAATAGGCAACTTCTGGGAGACTATGAAAAATGAAAATGTAAGCATCCATATGCAAACCATGCCCCCCACCATATTTTCTGTTATCCCCAGCACCATATATTACCCTAACACTGTACTCCCCATGGAGGCAACCTCAGGGACCTCAAAGGAGTGCCAGGGTCTGGCTAAGTACCTGTCTGCATAAGACCTTAACAGCATCTTCCCAAGCCATTCTTCTGTGTGTTAACAGTGGCCCAGTAACCATTCTCAAGATTTATAATGAAATTTAATGACCTTGAAGACTTGCTCATGCTATATACACCATCTACAATGCTATATAACTCCCATTATTGAGAGAGTGAATTCTTAGGTAGGTTGATAAGAAGTCTGGGGTCTGTGAGGAGGAGAAAAGGGTCTGGGGCTCTTGAGGAGGAGAAAAGTACACATTTTTTTTCTACACTCCTGCATCTTAGTCACATAAAATGTTGTTGTTTTTGTTGTTTTTCTTTAAGCCCAGAGTTAATGATTATACAACAAAACAACTCATCTTGTTTTTCCTTAAACTCTGTACCAGTGATTATATAACAACAATATACCTTGCTTGAGGACATGTTTCTTTTTCTTAACAGGAAACTTCTGACTAATCTTAAGACTTATGCTGTAGGAGTGGGTCTGGTAAGACCTTTCTATTGTTAGTCTTAATCTTGTTAACTTAAGATGGATGTTGTGAGAGTGGGTCTGGTAAAAGTATATAAGGCCTTGATAAAACTCAGTGAGGCACTCTTCATCCCCCTTCCAATGTCTATGTCAGAAGCTTTCTCTGTCCTTTTTATACTTTAATAAAACTCTGCTACACAAAAGCTCTCAAGTGGTCAAGACCGGTTCCTGGTCCTGAAGCAAAATCATCTTCTTCAGAGATCACAAATCCAACATCGATCACCATAAGCTATCATTCAATTCAGTTCAGTTCAGTCGCTCAGTCGCGACCGACTCTTTGCAACCCCATGAATCGCAGCACGCCAGGCCTCCCTGTCCATCACCAACTCCCGGAGTTTACGCAAACTCATGTCCATGGAGTTGGTGATGTCATCCAGCCATCTCATCCTCTGTTGTCCCCTTCTCCTCCTGCCCCCAATCCCTCCCAGCATCAGGGTCTTTTCCAATGAGTCAACTCTTCTCATCAGGTGGCCAAAGTACTAAAGTTTCAGCTTCAGCATCAGTCCTTCCAATGAACACCCAGGACTGATCTCCTTTAGGATGGACTGGTTGGATCTTCTTGCAGCCCAAGGGTCTCTCAAGAGTCTTTTCCAACACCACAGCTCAAAAGCATCAATTCTTTGGTGCTCAGCTTCGTCACAGTCCAACTCTCACATCCATACATGACCACTGGAAAAACCATAGCCTTGACTAGACGGACCTTTGTTGGCAAAATAATGTCTCTGCTTTTTAATATGCTATCTAGGTTGGTCATAACTTTTCTTCCAGGGAGTAAGCGTCTTTTAATTTAATGGCTGAAATCACCATCTGCAGTGATTTTGGAGCCCCCAAAAATAAAGTCTGACACTGTTCCCACTGTTTGCCCCTCTATTTCCCATCTACCAAATCTTCCAACAATCTTTCTTTGTTTGTTTTTTTCATCTTGACCCAGCTCAAACATCTCTGATGCTGTGAACATTTCCCTAACTCCATCCAAAAAGAGTAGCTTAATTCCTGGACTCTTCTGGTATTTCTTTCATATTTGTAATAGTCACATATATGCTATTTTACCACCTGCCTAACTGCCCCAACAATGCCTGGCCAGAAGCCCTTAGAAAAATATGCTATGCATGAATGGGTGAATGAATAAATGTTGATCTCCTTGGTTACTCATCCCTTTCTAGGATCTCTGCATCTCCCTTCTTAGCATCCACTGATGTGATCATCTCTTTTTCCCCTCCCTTAACTTATATGTAATTAATTGTGTTGATAGATGTCTTAGATTTCCAGATATTGAACCAACTTTGCTGTCCTAGGGAAAAAATCCTACTCAGTCACCGTCATGATGTTTTGGTATACTGATGAATTAAATATGCTATTTTACAAAGAATGTTTGTACATAAAATCATAAATAATATCATTCTCTGATGTTTTTCCTCTACATGTTTTACTTATCATTCTTTGGTTTAG